CTACATTTGTTTTACCAATTCAACCAGCACTTGATTTGGATATTTAAAGATCCAACTGTACATCAAAAGATAATTAAGCAATTGAAATGAACAAAAAAGATGAAAGGGTTTAGAAATGGTAATTAATTAATAGAATTAAATGATAATTAAGCAATTGAAATGAACAAAAAAGATAAAAGGGTTTAGAAATGTTTTTCCATGCACATGAAAAATAATTTCTCCGAATTTGTCACACTATTAGAATTTATTTTGTTAAAAGTTATTTCCAATGCACACGAAAATAATTACTTACATATTTTACACCAAAAGAGAGTCTTGTTAAAGAAGCAATTCCAATGCACATGAAAAATAACAATTTCTCTGAATTTTGCACACTAGCACTGTACATTGTATTTGAATCTTGTCATCAATAAAATATCCAATACTTATCCGATGGTATTTTTTTAACAGAAATGTTCCCGGTCTTAAATTTTGAAAGCATCACTTTTTGAAACGATTATAAATACATTTTCATATTGAACCTTAAACCATGTCACTTCCTGTTGCCGAATATCAGTTCAGGGTGCCGTTTTCAGCAAATCCCCTCAGATTATTCGAGATTATGTCTGTTCTCATACTTTTCCAGCCTTATGACAAAATTTACAGCCCATCTATTTTTTGACACCGTTTTTCTTGCAGATCTTGATAGGAAATTTTTTAAAAGCAGATTTTGCATAACGCCAACAATCTTCTCATTTTATTTAGAACTACGAGAAGTATTGTCCAACAGGAAATCCATAAAATTCCAACACTTTTCCATAACAAACATCATGTTACATGGTATGATAAATGTCCAAATTTTAATTAAATTTTTAGGTCACCTGAGTCACTCAGGTGACCTATTGCTATCCGTTCTCGTCCGTCGGCGTGCGTCGTGCGTCGTGTGTTAACATTTGAACATTTTTAGCTTCTTCTCTGAAACCGCTCAACCAATTTCAACCAAATTTGGCATATAGCATCTATGGGTGAAGGGGAACAAAAATTGTGAATTTCATGGTCCCTGCCCCCCTGGGGCCTGAGGGGTGGGGCTAAAACCACCAAAAATAATGCAATCTTTAAAAATCTTCTTCTTTACTCCAGGACATCTGTGAAGCAGTCAAACTGTTGGCATCATTGTAATAAGCATTGAGCCCTCTACAAAAATTGTGAAATTCATGGCCCCAGGGTCAGGGGTTCTGGCCCCAGGGTGGGGCTATATAGATCATATAGTAAAATTGCATTATTTCTTTGAAAATCTTCTTCTGTGCTCCTGGGTATTAAATAAAGTAACTAAGTACATAGTTATGAAGAGCAAGAGTGCCTCTTCCAAAATTGTGAAATTCATGGCCCCTGGGTCAGGGGTTCTGGTGTTAGGGCGGGGCTCTATTGATTATATAGTGAAAATGCATAAATTCTTTGAAAATCTTCTTCTGTGCGTCTGGGTATTAAATAAAGTAACTAAGTACATAGTTATGATGAGCAAGAATGCCTCTTCCGAAATTGTGAAATTCATGACCCCAGGGTCAGGGGTTCTGGTGTTAGGGCGGGGCTATATAGATCATATAGTGAAAGTGCATTATTTCTTTGAAAATCCTCTTCTGTGCTCCTGGGTATTAAATAAAGTAACTAAGTACATAGTTATGATGAGCAAGAGTGCCTCTTCCGAAATTGTGAAATTCATGACCCCAGGGTCAGGGGTTCTGGCCCCAGGGTGGGGCTATATAGATCATATAGTGAAAGTGCATTATTTCTTTGAAAATCTTTTTCTGTGCTCCTGGGTATTAAATAAAGTAACTAAGTACATAGTTATGATGAGCAAGAATGCCCCTACCAAAATTGTGAAATTCATGGCCCCAGGGTCAGGGGTTCTGGCCCCAGGGTGGGGCTATATAGATCATATAGTGAAAGTGCATTATTTCTTTGAAAATCTTCTTCTCTGCTCCTGAGTATTAAATAAAGTAACTAAGTACATAGTTATGAAGAGCAAGAGTGCCTCTTCCAAAATTGTGAAATTCATGGCCCCTGGGTCAGGGGTTCTGGTGTTAGGGCGGGGCTCTATTGATTATATAGTGAAAATGCATTAATTCTTTGAAAATCTTCTTCTGTGCTCCTGGGTATTAAATAAAGTAAATAAGTACATAGTTATGATGAGCAAGAGAGCCTCTTCTGAAATTGTGAATTTCATGGCCCCAGGGTCAGGGGTTCTGGCCCCAGGGTGGGGCTATATAGATCATATAGTGAAAGTGCATTATTTCTTTGAAAATCCTCTTCTGTGCTCCTGGGTATTAAATAAAGTAACTAAGTACATAGTTATGATGAGCAAGAATGCCTCTTCTGAAATTGTGAAATTCATGGCCCCAGGGTCAGGGGTTCTGGCCCCAGGGTGGGGCTATATAGATCATATAGTGAAAGTGCATTATTTCTTTGAAAATCTTCTTCTGTGCTCCTGGGTATTAAATAAATTAACTAAGTACATAGTTATGATGAGCAAGAGAGCCTCTTCCAAAATTGTGAATTTCATGGCCCCTAGGTCAGGGGTTCTGGTGTTAGGGCGGGGCTCTATTGACTATACAGTGAAAATGCATTAATTCTTTGAAAATCTTCTCCTCTGCTCCTGGGCATTAGGGTGATAAACTAAGTACATAGTTATGATGAGGAGGTGGGCCTCTTCCAAAATTGTGAAAGCCATTGCCCCTGGGTCAGGGGTTCTGATGTTAGGGCGGGGCTCTATTGATTATATAGTGAAAATGCATTAATTCTTTGAAAATCTTCTTCTCTGCACCTGGGTATTATTTAAACAAACAAAGTGCATGGTTTTGATGCATAAGGATGCCTTTTCAAAAATTGTGAATTTCATGGCCCCAGGGTCAGGGGTTCTGGTGTTAGGGCAGCGCTCTATTGATTATATAGTGAAAATGCATTGATTCTTTGAAAATCTTCTTCTCTGCTACTGGAGATTATCTAAACAAACTAAGTGCAAGATTATGATAGGCAAGGATGCCTCTTCCAAAATTTTTAAATATATGGCCTTAGTTTTAAGGGTTCTTGAGGAAAGGGGGGGGGGGCTCTATTGATTATATAGTGAAAAAGCATTAATTCTATTAATTAATCAGTAATTAATCCTGTCTGCTCCTTAGTGTTGAGCTGATAAATAAATTGCTTAGCTATGATGAAAATGGGAGCTTCGAACAGAATTTTTAAATCTTGTGGTCCTAGGGTCAGGGGTTCTGGCATAATGAGGGGGGGGGGGGGGGGCTTTTGAATTTCTTGACCCTTGGTCTTGGGTTCTGGTGTTAGGGTAAGGCTTTGTTGAATCTGTATTGAAAATGCATTGTACCTGTGAAATTCTTCTCTGCTTCTGGGCATATCGGAAGAAAACTGAGTAAAAGTTTAAATGATATAAGTAAGCGTATTTCTACCAGATTTTTGAACATCTGGACCATTTGTTTAAGCATTCTAGTCCTGGGCAGGGCTCTATTAATTAGTATTCTACTGAGAGAAGTTATTCCCCTTTTCCGTTCACCTTTGATAATTAATCACTGTAAATAATGTATTTGAAAGGTTAATAGAATAAGATAATTATGCAAGAATGTTTATCATATAATTCAAAAAGTATTTTCTTAGTTTTAATAATCAGGTAGACCTGTAAGTAATAGATAAATAAAAATGAGACAAAAATAACTTATCTTATTAAAAGTTCTTCAAAGACCATAAGAGAGGTCAATGCTCTAGGTCTTAATATGGGTTTAAAAATAGTACAGAAGCACTAATAGTTTGTTAATAGTCTGCATGGTGATAGTGTTAAGTGGGGAACAGATTAGAACTTAATTTATGAGTTGATACTGAATACTAGACTAATTATTTTGTTGATCCTGATCTTCCTACTTCTCTTTCTTTAGGGCAACAAAGCTTCATCTATCAGTGTATTCAACTTCTAAATTGTTGTATTATACTCAGGTGACCGTTAAGGCCCTTGGGCCTCTTGTTGTAGTTTTCTTCTGCTTCCAGGTCAAAAGTGTTCAAAACACTATCTGAATCTCTGTAAATTTACTTTGGGTTCAAATAAATTCTTCATCTGATTTCATGACTGCTCAGTACCATGGAAAGCTTTGAAATGACATTAGCATCAGTTTCATCCTCACTAGTTCATGAATAAAAAGATGGAGTGTTCAATTAGGTTAATGTATTGTATCACTGTTGGATATATAAATGGGCTAGATCCTACTGTATTACAGCAAAGTTAGATATATGAATGAGTAAATGTTTTTCTGGGGTCTAAAGTGGGGAATTTTTTTAAGCAAGGTAAATTACGAGATGGTGTTAAAAAGTTTAGAGAAAACACCCCCTCTTCAGAGGGAATGTTTTCTTTATACTATTCATCATCATCATCTCATTATTTATCCATTACATAATCAACAGAGCTCCCCCCTCCCCCCCCCCCCCCCCAACATCAGAACCCATGACCCTGGGGCCACAAATTTCACAATTTTAGAAGAAGCACCCTTGCTCACCACAAATATGCACTTAATTTATTTGCTAAATAGAAAGGAGCAGAGAAGATTTTCAAAGAATTAATGCCTTTTCACTGTATAATCAATAAAAAAATAGAGCCCCATCCTAACACCAGAACCCCTGACCAAGGGGCCATTAAATTCACAATTTTAAAAGAGGCACCTTTGCTCATTTTAATTATATATTTAGTTTGTTTGTTGGACACCCAGAATCAGAGAAAAAGATTTTCAAAGAATAATGCATTTTCACTATGTAACAGGTTCCCCCCCCCCCCCCCAACACCAGAACGCTGACCCTGGGGCCACTAATACAATTTTGGAAGAGGCATCCTTGCTCATCATAACCATGCATTTAGTTTATCTGCTTAATATACAGGGGGAGAGAAGAAGATCTTTAAAGAATTTGACTCAGGTGACCTTAAAAATAAACAATTATTTTGACATGCAATAAAATTACACTGTAAATCAACATAAAATTTTGACCACTTTATTATATACTAGTAAGTTTTTATCAATATAGGAGAATGTACAACCTAGCAACAGCAATTCTTTGCTTGTTGAACATTGTTATACTTGCATATTTTAAAACTTTCACATAGGCTCAATATAAACTTAAGAAGGAATAAATACCTATAGAATTTACAGTTTGTCTATCAATGAAAAATGTAAGCATTTTAAATTTAAATTTTTCAAACATTTTTGTATATTGTACAAGCTTGTTGCATAGTTATCTAAATCTACCCATCTGATTTGTACATCTACATTGTATATTAAAAACATACTGTATATGTGGCATTTGGACACACAAACAGTAAAGTTACATGTGAAGATAATTAACATGCACCAATACATATTGGTAGTTTCTTTGTCAGTAACTGGCATAAAAAGCATAGAGGTAAAGAATGTGCCTTTTAATACCCCAGGAGAGGTGTGTAAACAATACAATGTACATGCATATATGTCCACAACAAATAAGCCTTAGAATTTTCATTCCATGTCAATTCTTCAAAGATGTGACAAAAACCATTTTAAGTACATTTTAAAATATGTGTACTGGTAGTTGACATATTATGTAACTCATTTCGTCAAACTTCAGTGTATAATTTATGTTCCAGAATGAATATAACAAACAGATCTCTCAGTGACAAAAAATATCTTTAATTTTTTGTTTACAATCTTCAGTAAATTTTAAGTAATAATATTGAGTAGCAAAAGTACATGAGAGCTAAAATTATTCACCTTTAATATTATATCAAGGCAAAAATACATGTACATGTATATCTCGCATGTCACTTTTAGACACACACTGCATACATACTGTAGAAGCACAAATTTTCCTGGGAATAAAATTTCTTTGTCATCTAAAAAGGTTTTGTGGGCATTAAATTTTTTTGTTTTGAAAGTGACTCTATTCAATATATAGTCATATAAAAATTTTGTGTGGGATTTAATTTTGTTGATACTGTATACAGGGAGTTTTGCTCCGTGTTATTTTCGCCCTTTCACACTTGAAAACAATTTTGCCCCATTTAAATTTGCCCAGTCACAGTTCTGTTTAAGACATTATACTGTATTCTTTGAATTCGCCCCATTTTAAATTCACCCACCTGTGAGTATGGCGAAATGGGGGGAAAATAAAAGGGAAGCAAAAATTTTCCCACATACATTAATTGTTAACAACAAAATACTCAAAATGAAATCTCCATTCTCAAACGAATACTTCTGCTTTTACAGTAATTGCTAATGGATATTAACAACATGTATGAATAATGTTTCCTGAAAGTCCTTAAACCAGTCCTGGGCACATACATGTATGTAGGAACATGTCATATCTAACAGGGAGCACTGTGTTCAGAAATCACCAGCTGTCAATGTTGTCAGCTGGCATCAATCACCAGATCTGAATCATAGTCTTCTTTGTTTGTGTCAGCTGTCTCACTGAAATTAAACAAAAAACATCACTTAAGCAAGTATAATAGAAAATCAAGGTTAAAAAATGATGTATTTATCACAAAAAGAATGCATTAAATAAAACTTCACACTGTTAAAATCTAATTTCTCATCATGAATTCTATATTTGACTGTCTTTTAACTGGTAGAGTACAAGTAATATATGTATTGTCTTTGCATCACAAACCTATCAGGATTAGAGTTATCATTGCTGAATATCTCCATGGGTAACATGGCAGGGGCTTTCTCAATTTTAAACGAATTTTGTCGTGACTCTAAATGTCTCTCCAACTCCTCTCTTGTCATACGGCTCTCAGCTTTCTCCATCTTTGATTTTGCTGTGTTCAACATCATGAAAAAGTTTAAATGTCATTATACACATCTTTAAAATAGAAGAATGTCTTAAATATTTATTTTTATCAGTTTAATGTTTAAAGAAGAAGGTATGGTTTTAGCTTTATTGTGCCCTAAAAATTTAATGTTTTCAAAAAGATTTGAAACTGGCTTAAATATTAATTGAGTATATGACTGTGATAAATCAGGAAAGAATATGGCATGAAGGAGTACCATTCTGGAAATATGACGTCATTAATTTGATGCATTTCTCTATTTTAAACATAAAAAGACTCAAAATGACCCATTTCAAGGGTTATTTTCCTTAAGGAAATAGTGTCCACAGCCGTCGCCCACTTTAATTTTCGGATATGTTGTGTAAAATTCTTTGAAAAATCACACATCTAAAAGAAAATTCCATTGAAAATTGGTGTCTTCTGCAACTTTTTAAGAAAATACGGGAAAATGCACAAGTTTATGACGTCACAATTAGCATTTAGAAGGTCGTGTGAGAAAAATGATTTGCATTATCTTTCTGCATGGAATTTCAAAGATTCAGAAAGCATGAGTTTTAATTTTTTACATCATTTTCATTTTTAAGAAAAACACAGGGCAAGATTTGTATTGAAACCGTACCTTGTTCTTTAACTCAAAATCAATGACAAAAAAAATCTGATCAAGACTAATTTGTCAAGAAATTAATCTGTTATGTCTCATACTCAAGGTTTCCATACAAGATGGAAGAATATATAATACATATATTACCTTTTGATTTCTTTGTGGAGGGTCTAGAGCGCTTCTTCACAGGTTCTGAACTCGAGGACCCCTGCCAAGGTGAGACACATTCTTTTAAGTTAGGTAATCAAAGATTACAAAGTTTACCACCACAAATGACAACTATAGGGCAAAGTTTAACATCAATATTCTCGTAGTGTGCATTCCTAGATATGCCATAAATGCAAGTTTGTCAGGATGAGGCTATTTCGTTACAGCCGCTTTGAAGAAGAAATTGAAAATGCAAAAAAGTTCATAAGAGATCCCAAATTACAGATGAAAAATAAAGTCCTAGCAGGCTCACTTAAACATTTGACCTATTTAAAAAAATATTTTTAAACATTTGAGCTAAATTCACTTACAGCAGCTTGAAAGAGAGCAGCCATACTAAGATTTCCAAATATAGTAGAGGCTTCTGATCCAAAAGGTAACTGGGCCTGACCTGGACTCAAGGAAATCTTCCTCCTTAAAGTTTTATAGTATTTACAATGTACATGTATAATGCACCGATCAATATATACAAAACACATATATTCAATTCAATTTACCTTACAAATAAAGTTCTGCATGAAAATGTCTCACTGATAAAAAAAAAATTCTTGCACCAGCCCATCTTCAACAATGGATGCTTTACTACTACACAAGGATGTCCATAAGATTTGAAATAGCAAGGGACATTAAAAAAGTAGAAGGGGCAACTGAGGTTTCTCCCCTAACAAAGGGTTGAGGGGGAATACCAGAATAATCAGGGGATTACATAATGAAAGGCGGGGAAATCCCCCAGCCCTTGGGTCTTAGGGACATCCCTGCAACATGATATACATTGTGCCATTAGTGTCTTACTTTTTCCCAGAAGTGTGGCCATCTGCTTCACTGTCACTTGATGCTGTTGCGTCAGAATCTCCAGAGGAATCATCTACCTTTTCATACTGTAACAGGCGATCTAAGAGAAAACTGGAAATAAAGGTTAAGGTTTATTAAAATCCTTAATACATTACCTAAAGTATATTTCAATTTTTTTTTAATTATTGCATGTTTCCCCTGTGAAAGTTTTTTTTGATTTTAATTAATCTTAAGTGGAAAAAGAAATTCTTTAATCTGAACTAGTAGTGGAAACACATGTAAATGTATATGTACATGTAGCTTAAAAAGAGTCAACGTTGAGCCCCGCCCCTCAAACAAATAAGGAAATGTTAGTTGTAATATGCTGAAAAAAAATCATAAATTCAGACCTAACAATAAAAACAAGAGGCCCTGGGGCCACATCGCTCACCTGAGCACTCTGGCTAGGAAAAAGCAGAAATCAGTTCAGTCTTGAAAAAGTTAAAATATAAAACTGGTTCGGGGGGAAGAGTTAGGGGGGGGGGGGGGGAGGATGGAGTTTTAATTTGAACTAACTTGAATCTAAACTTCATAGGGATGCATTTGAATTAATATGACAAATAATGGCTTTGCTGTTCTTAAAAAGAAAATTTTGATAGATATATCCTTTGTATTCCTTTATATGATCCCCTGTTATGGTCCCTCTATTCTCCTGTGGATCATGATTTGTACAAATTTGAATCTACATTACCTGATGATGCTTCCATTTAAATATGACTAATCTCCTGTGGATCATGATTTGTACAAATTTGAATCTACATTACCTGATGATGCTTCCATTTAAATATGACTAATCATGGCTTTGCTGTTCTTGAGAAGTAGATTTTAAAGATGTTCCCTATATATTCCTATGTAAAACTTTGATCACCCATTGTGGCTCCACCCTACCCCCGGGGGTCATGATTTGAACAAATTTGAATCTACACTACCTGAGGATGCTTCCATATAAATATGACCAATCATGGCTTTGCTGTTCTTGAGAAGAAGATTTTTCCTATGTATTCCTATGTAAAACTTTGACCGCCCATTGTGGCCCCACCCTACTCCTGGTGGTCATGATTTGAACAAATTTGAATCTTCACTACATAAGGATGCTTCCATATAAATATGACCAATCATGGCTTTGCTGTTCTTGAGAAGGAGATTTTTAAATTTTTTTCCTTTGTATTCCTATGTAAAACTTTGACCGCCCATTGTGGCCCCACCCTACCCCCGGGGGTCATGATTTGTACAAATTTGAATCTACACTTCCTGAGGATGCTTCCATATAAGTTTTATATTTTCAAGCACAGTGGTTTTTGAGAAGATTTTTAAATGATGCCATTAATTTTTCATGAATTCATAATTATCTTCCCTTGGAAGAAGGCGTGGCCCTTTATTTGAACAAACTTTAATCCCCTTCACCCAAGGATACTTTGTGGCAAGTTTGGTTGAAATTGGTCCAGTGATTCTTGAGAAGAAGATGAAAATGTGAAAAGTTTACGACAACGACGACAGACAATGGACAAATGTCAATCAGAAAAGCTCACTTGAGCCTTCGGCTCAGGTGAGCTAATTATGCAATACTTTATACCATTTATTTATCATAAATAATGTATGGTTTACCTTTTGTCTCTAGAAACCTTGAGTAACTTCCCTTGAGCCTTTCGTAATTCTTCCAAAAAACATTCTTGTTCCTAATTGAGAAAACATAAATACAATTGAATGCATTGGTGATAAGGTACAACTCTGATATCAGAACATTATTCCTGAGAGAAAAATAGCAGGCATCACATGTTGAAAATAAAATAGATCAGCTCAATATTTTAACCTTTATATAATATAATTTTCTCAAAGTCCTAAAACATTTTAATTACTTTAGTGTTAAAAGAGTCTGTATGTTAAGTTTTATTCAATTGAATAAAGCCAAATTTTCTCCAAGAAAACAGGCAGGTACATAGTATTGCATCTTGGCTGTTCAAAGACTCTATCAACTACCTTATAGTTTACTATAAAATGAAGTATAAACTTATAAAAGACAAAAATGCTCTACTTACATATACCAGTAGTTTTAATTTCTTTTTTAATGTTTTATACTTCTGCTTATAATCAATCTGGTGTTCCCCTGCAACATGCCCATCTGAAACAATAAAATGAGTACAGTGAAAACTATGTAATCCGGCATCTGTGCAATCAATTTCACTGTGAATTCCCACCCTAATTTAAATTCTCATTTTACAATTTTCCATGTTCTTTACACTGTGAAACAGTATACTGGTTACAAATGAACATACTTGAAAGGCAGTAATTTCTCGCCATATATGGCCTGTCACACATTACAGTTTGACATTATTCAAATCAAGCAGGCCCCTTCAATCAAGTTTAATTTTTTTTCAATCATTTTATTTCAAATTAACTGTCATTTATTTTAGTTAGAAATGACCTTATTTTCTATTACTTCTCTGTTGGTGTTGCTTTTGGGAGCTTAGGTAGAATATTCTATCGTTAAAATTGTGAGGTCTTACGAACTTATCTTCATGCATTCTTAGATAAAATATTTTTGGGATGTTAGATTTTTCACGCATTTCTTCTCCATTCTCCACCCTGGTAAAAGTTTTTAAATTAACACCCTGGACTTTGTTGTGCAAGTACACAAGATAATAAATTACAAGCTTGACCTGTTTTAAAGTAGATACAATGTTCTATCATTAAAATGATAACCCAAATGTCCTACAGAGTTTAACAATAAAATGTGTTCTGTGTATTGCCAATGCAGCAAAGCAAACAGGGGCTTTAAATCTGAGTGCAATTAGTATGAAAAGCCTAGAGGGTTCTGAATGTCAATATGGCATGTAAATATGAAGCGAGTAAAAAACGTTGAAAAAACTGTTGAATTCGTCCATTAATTGGATAAAATACTTGGGTGAAAGGTATCCACCATCTCAAAAATGTTTGTTATGTAAAATGAGTTTGTTATTTTTAATGCAAATTCATTTATTTTCTCTAAATTCATTTCGGAGCAATTCTGGAATTTTCTGCTACATAGCGGGTATATGATTCTAACTGTGGTGAGGGCCTGTCCAGAGACACAGTTAGATTTAAAGATGCGCCTTAATTATTATTTTATTTTCAAAGACAGGTAAAAGTAGGTAGAAGTAGCTACTTCAAGTAGGTTTAAATACCTAGGTAGCTATTAATAGCTACGTAGGTAGAAATAGTCTTTGGACTAAACCTATTCGTTAGTACGATCAGCAGGTCCAGTACAATCAGTACATTTAGCTACATAGCTAAAATTACCTACCGTAGCTTTATTTACCTACCTTAGGTAGCTTTATTTAGCTATTTCAAGGCAACTTTTCACAATTTCGGTATTTATTTTAAAAAGACAAAAAATCGCAAGTAAATGTCTACTAATATTTATACTAGGGATTATTTAAAAAGCAAGCCAAAGCAGAGATAGTTTTAACATTGCTGCGTTTGAACACTTTTAAGGAAAAGATGTATTTCCATTGTTTGAGTAACTGTACACCACCTTGTGTGTGATGAGACGTGGATAAGTATGATTACTTCACATTGTGCTCATGTTAACCAAAACTGGTTTTCTTTGTCATTTCATTCAAAAAGTAACTGTTTGGTCAAAAATTAACTGTTGTATATAGCCCCAAAACTTTTAGTACTTTGATTGAAATTGCATAGAAAAAAGACACATCTCCAAGAGTGATTTTTTCATGAAATGTTTTCAAATGAGTTCAAAGTTGAAAATTATCACTGCATCAAAGTGCAATTTTCCACTTTCTGGGGGAAATGCTAATTTAACAGAAATAAGTTTGATTTAGTAGGTAATTAAGCTACTACAGGTAGGTAAATAAAGCTACTTCAGGTAGATAAATAAACTATGTAGGTAATTAAAGCTACGTAGCTAGTGATTGTACCAGACCTGATCAGTGTCTGCAAGTCATAAACCTATTTCTAATTCTAGCAAACATATATTTCGCTAACTGAGAAAAATAGATTTATAAAAATATGTATACATACTAGTGGAAGGAAGATATGTATTCATTTTTAAAGCACATGTAATATGTTATATAAAAACAGAAAATTAAGCACCAGCAAGTGGCATCATTGCATTGTTGGTTTTCTTCTACAGGAAGTTACCCATTTGCGCTTTACGTCACAATAATTGTGCTTCCTTTTACTTCCGGCCGTCGATGTGAGTGAATGAGAAATATGTATATTGCAAGAGAAATCCGGTCTAAATCAATGTCATCGTAGATTATTAAGATGATTTCCAAATAAAAACACATTAACAATGTACCTTTTTATGAAGGGTCATATCTAGTTTTCCCGTATATGTATTAAATTTATCCAAAATATGTATCAAAACAAACGTGGGTACAAGCAAAATATATTAACCTTTGACACTGCATTCTGAAACAAATTCTGATTTGGTGTTGTTACGAATTTTTATATTCAAAAGGAGTAAAAGTGAAACAGTACATTTGATCAGGGACCTATATACTAATTAGTATATAGGTCCCTGATTTGATTAACTGAAAACAGACATTTCAAGGGAATATACGTCTGTCTCTTAGAAAAAAGTGTTCAGCATGAATTTATAATTTCGTTGCATTTTTTAAGATGGGACCGAAAGCCGAGACAAAAGCAGCCAAGCCAAAGGCAGCGGCTGCTAAACCAGCTGCAAAGAAACAGACTGAGACCCGCATGGTGAAGAAGACTATTGGTGGAGATAAAAATGGTGGTTCCAGACTTGTCAGAAAAACCAGAATAGTAATGAACATGTTAAATTATTTATGTAATGATCAGATGAAATAAGTATGATTTTGGGGTTTGTAAAACTCAACTTTTTCTTTCTGAGAATTTTGTATCAGACAGGTAATGTTTATAGTTTGATATATGTGTTGAAATTTTTATTCAGTCTCGCTATTACCCAACTGAGGATAAACCCAGAAAGCTGAGGTCCAGAAAGACTGCCTTTTCCAAGCACAAGCACAGCATAAGACCCTCAATTACTCCTGGCACTGTTCTTATTCTTGTGGCTGGTCGTCACAAGGGAAAGGTAAATCATTTATCAATTGTAATCCCTCAGGTAATCTTCAATTACATTTATTATTTAGTGCCACTGTCTTTATTTTAATTTGGTCAGTGCATGGACACATATTAAAGAAATTTAAAACAAATTTAGTAGCATTTTACTAAACAAGCTATCACTAAAGTTAAACCAAGTTTTATTTACTCCATCATGGGCATTATTTTTTTTTTAATTAAAAAAAAATGATGGTTCCAATGTAACATTGATTGTTTATCACAAAATTAAGGCAGTATGACGCACAGCTTACAAGAAGGTGACTCACACTTTAATTACATTTTGCCTGTTGCTATTTTGCTATCCTTTGGTCTACTTTGATAAAGTCTATTGCCAACATTTATTATTCATTGCAGAGAGTTGTCTTCTTGAAACAGTTGGATTCTGGATTACTTTTGGTTACAGGTAAATTGCATAAAAAATACACAAGTTTTTTTTTAAAAGTGCATCTTCCAGTGATGATTCTGTTCAGATATTTAGTGGAATTCAGCTAATTTGAATCCAAGAACTGTTTTCCGATATTTCAGTACTTTCTTTTTGTTGCAGCGATGCGTTTCCATTTTTGTCTTGGTAAAAAATTCAAGTTGTTTTGTCCGTGTTTTGATCTAGTCTGCATCATCCAGACATTTGCATTTATCTCCAAGTAAGGTAAACAAAAATGTAGGGATGATTCAGACTTCCTTACAATGGCATGGCGGTACATTCAGCCAGGTCAGGATGTAAAAGTTGTTGGACAAACAGTCGCACTTCAAATATTGTCACTCATTTAAACCTATTTTGGGCTTGTAAAATTGCATAAAGTCCATATTTTGTCAGCCCCTCGACCCCCAAACAATTTAAGATATTTTTGGCCAATACACAGAATCATCACTGATCTTACAAGGCTCTCGATTGTCTATATTGGGGCAGTTCAAAGGCCCCATTCCCAATTCAAAAAAGGAACTTTTTTCCCAATTGAATATGTTTATTTTCCCCAAGTCATTCCCCCCCCCCCCCCCCCCCCCCCCCCTAGATTTAAGAACATATAGTTAGATATTTTTTCTTTTTTAATTTAACCTGTTATTCATACAGTGAAGTTGATAACTGCAGACACCAGAAATTCAATATATCATGATTTTAAGGTTTAACAATTTTCCCAAAATTCCCTTAAGAATTGATAATTTTCCCACTTTTTATGGACCCAGCCCCAGTCCCAGTAAGTGGTCTGAGAGCCCTGATCTTTTTAATTGGGTTCAAAGATTAAAAAACAATTAATGAGGGAGAATCTGTAAAAGGAAAGAAGAGCATCATGGGTTGCCTTTGAGAAAGATAAAAAAAGTAGAGAGGAAGTTTATGGTATAATGATTTCTTAGGAATTTAATAACTTGTTACAAGTTAGATGTTTTTAAAAATCTCTGTACATATTTTTTTTTAAAAAAGTTAGTACTATGGATGACATGTAGCCCCAGGTCTTCTCTATACATGTGAGGAAACAGGATACCAGGATTTTTTGACAAGTATGAGTCGATGTACAGTTTCTGAAGTGCACTGCACATTCAGGAATCCCTGCCAAAAAATTAGCCTATTATAATTGTTGATTACTTATATGTGCATCTTTGTCTTATTGTATGTTACAGAACAATCACTGAAACATTGTGTACATACATGACTCTTCTTTTAGGTCCATTCCATTTGAATGGTTGCCCTCTCAGAAGAATCAACCAAATCTACACTATCGCCACAAAAACAAAGCTGGACATCAGTGGTGTTAAACTACCAGAACGCCTGAATGACAAATACTTCAACCGTAAACAGCTGAAGAAGCCCCGACACACAGAGGGGGAAATCTTTGACACCAAAAAAGAGGTCAGTTATTTGAAAATGCACAGATTTTCAGGAGTTGAATTCATCAACAATATGGAAATTTCTTTGAGGTGTCAGAGGCACATTCATATTAATATTCAGATCTCTTTCATCGGTATCACATGGCGCAGCCATATTTTTTTAAATCTTAAAAAATATCAAATCATACAAAGTTATTTAGTTTTTGTTAAGTCATGTTTTTATTTTTTCAAATTAATCGATTATGAAAATCATAATCGATAATCAATGTCGGGTGGCTTCTAGCGACCAACTTTCAATTGTCAGCAACAATTGGCCAATCACTCACCTTTAATAGTGAAAACATTTTGGAAAAAAAAAACAAGTAAATTATTAAACAAGGAACAAACACTCAAATGTGTACCATGTCTTTATTAAATCAGAGATGACTTATTACTATGACTAAACTGCTAGGTTGATGGAACCACTTATGAAATATTTTAATTAAATGCAACCACTCCTATGGTTTTACACAGTTTATTGTACACAAATGAACACAAGTGATCTGATTTTGTAATTTAAATTAAATGAAATACAATGAGTTACACCTATTGAGACAGGACTTTGTCACTCGTTGATGGCCATGTTTACTCAATTACTACGTATCTAACCCATTTAACAATTTCTGTTAATACTGCCTAAATACTCTTTATTAGTTGTGATATGCAAGCAATTGACACACTGTTTTGTTAACAAGGCTGGATTCTAAAAAGTTTATGTTGATTTGTTCTTTTACTTTACTTAACTGCATGGCATGCTGTTAAAACATTACATAATCTAGATCCTTGTGACACTTTACAATGCCTGCTTCTTACTCACAAGTCTCCAAACATTTTCTTGATAGAGAATCTTGGAAAAAGTAAATCCCAATCCCGATGATAAAAATTGACATGTCTCAGTCCATTTCTCGGAAAATACAAGTTAGTTTTAATTTCTAGTTGCAAAATTAAATTTATGGTAGCAAACGCGACCAATTTTGTCTCAACTTGGAGCACTGCTGGGTATTAAGCAAATAAACTTAGTGTATTGTTATGATGAACAAGTGTGCCTCTTCCAAAATTGTGGATTTCATGACCCCAGGGTCAGGTGTTCTGGTGTTATGGGAGGGTTCTTTTGATTATATAGTATTAAAATGCATTAATTTAAGATATTCTCTGCCCCTTGGTATTCAGCAGATAAACTAAGTGCATGGTTATGATTAGCAAGGGTTCCTCTTTCAAAATTGTGCAATTTGTGACCCAAGGGAGTGGGTAACGGGATGTTTCGCACCTATGCATCGTTCGCCTCGCGATGTTTCGCGCCAATTCTGTTTCGCGCTGAGATGGTTCGCCCCACGATGTTTCACTCCAAGTACATAAATGTGCTACTGACTTTCGTTCATTTTACAAAATTTTAGATTTTACATATATGTAAATATAGAAATTTTTGGAACATTAATTTAAGAAGATTATATTTGAAGCAGAGACGTAAATTATTTATGTCTGTGTTTGAAGTATACATACATAGCATAATTGTGAATTATTATAAACGCCGTGCTAATACTACGTATTAGTAGATAATTATAATACCGCCATCTAATTAAGTAATTATTGCTGGCTTGGACAATCCACACATCAACTTAAATTCTCACCTTTGATCTCCAACTTATTACAATTAAATCCTCATTGAAACACTGACATTGAATTGTTGAACAGACACGCTGAGCAAACGGGCACCGTACGATCCGTTAACTATAGCAGTGCATGTTATTAAGTCATGAATTTGAGCACACAAAATATTTATATCATATTTGATAAATAATATAATGTGATGAAATATTTAAAATAAAACGTGAGATGTTTCGCGCCCAAATCGGCGCGAATCATCCTGGCGCGAACCATCTCAGTGCGAAAAAGAATCGGCGCGAAACATCCCGGATTCAGGGAGTGAAGGGATAGTGTGTGTGTGCATGGGGGGGGGGGGCTCTATTAAATGCATTAATGTTTTAAAAATCACCTTTTTTGCTCATGGATATCAATCAAGCAAATAAATGAAGAGCATAGTTATGATGATAAGGTGCCTCTTCCAAAATTGTGAATTTCATGACCTCTGGGTAAGGGATTCTGGTGTTGGGGGGGGGGGGGGCTCTTTTGATAATACAGTGAAATGCTAGGGCTGTGTATTGGCTGAAAATTACTTATTGCAAAATCCCAATCCCGATGATAAAAATTGACATGTCTCAGTCCATTTCTCGGAAAATACAAGTTAGTTTTAATTTCTAGTTGCAAAATTAAATTTATGGTAGCAAACGCGACCAATTTTGTCTCAACTTGGAGCACTGCTGGGTATTAAGCAAATAAACTTAGTGTATTGTTATGATGAACAAGTGTGCCTCTTCCAAAATTGTGGATTTCATGACCCCAGGGTCAGGTGTTCTGGTGTTATGGGAGGGTTCTTTTGATTATATAGTATTAAAATGCATTAATTTAAGATATTCTCTGCCCCTTGGTATTCAGCAGATAAACTAAGTGCATGGTTATGATTAGCAAGGGTTCCTCTTTCAAAATTGTGCAATTTGTGACCCAAGGGAGTGGGTAACGGGATGTTTCGCACCTATGCATCGTTCGCCTCGCGATGTTTCGCGCCAATTCTGTTTCGCGCTGAGATGGTTCGCCCCACGATGTTTCACTCCAAGTACATAAATGTGCTACTGACTTTCGTTCATTTTACAAAATTTTAGATTTTACATATATGTAAATATAGAAATTTTTGGAACATTAATTTAAGAAGATTATATTTGAAGCAGAGACGTAAATTATTTATGTCTGTGTTTGAAGTATACATACATAGCATAATTGTGAATTATTATAAACGCCGTGCTAATATTACGTATTAGTAGATAATTATAATACCGCCATCTAATTAAGTAATTATTGCTGGCTTGGACAATCCACACATCAACTTAAATTCTCACCTTTGATCTCCAACTTATTACAATTAAATCCTCATTGAAACACTGACATTGAATTGTTGAACAGACACGCTGAGCAAACGGGCACCGTACGATCCGTTAACTATAGCAGTGCATGTTATTAAGTCATGAATTTGAGCACACAAAATATTTATATCATATTTGATAAATAATATAATGTGATGAAATATTTAAAATAAAACGTGAGATGTTTCGCGCCCAAATCGGCGCGAATCATCCTGGCGCGAACCATCTCAGTGCGAAAAAGAATCGGCGCGAAACATCCCGGATTCAGGGAGTGAAGGGATAGTGTGTGTGTGCATGGGGGGGGGGCTCTATTAAATGCATTAATGTTTTAAAAATCACCTTTTTTGCTCATGGATATCAATCAAGCAAATAAATGAAGAGCATAGTTATGATGATAAGGTGCCTCTTCCAAAATTGTGAATTTCATGACCTCTGGGTAAGGGATTCTGGTGTTGGGGGGGGGGGGGGGCTCTTTTGATAATACAGTGAAATGCTAGGGCTGTGTATTGGCTGAAAATTACTTATTGCAATATTTTTATCTGTATTGCGATGTTTTGCAATATTTTCAATAACGGTTAAAATGCTTTTTTTTTTCTATTTTTCTTTTAACCTCCATTTATAAGCAGAATGCATGTAACTATTATAAATACGTTGTCACAGGAAAGTTCTTGTTGATTTCACTACAGTTTTGCAACAAAATCCATCCATATAACAACAACCTAAATTACTGTTTGGCACAATTGAAAACGTTTCTGACATATTAATTTTACCTTTTACTTAAGAAATCTAATACCTGAGCATGTTATTACATGTATATTGGTACTGAAAAAAAAGGTATCGCAATTTGATATTTTTTGCTAAGGAAATCGCAGTGTACCGGCCGGAATATCGATATTATTGTGCAGCCCTAGAAAATGTGCCTCTTTCAAAATTGAGAATTTCTTGGTCCCTTGGTCAGGGGTTCTGGTGTTAGGGCAGGGCTGTGTTGAATCTATTGTGAAAATGCATATTTCTTTGAAAATCATTTCTGCTTCTGGACATCTAAGAGGTAAACAGAGTACAAAGTTGTAATAAGCAAGGATATTTTTACCAGATTTTTTTTTAAATTTTGGACTACTTGGTCAAGTGTTCTGGTGCTGGCCGGGCTCTTACTGAGAGATATTATTCCCCTTTGCTATTTACCTATGAAAAAATATTTACCAATGAAAAAAGTATAACTGAAAAGTCAATTGAATAAGAGAATTATACAAGAATTTTTATAATATATAATACAAAAAAGTACTTTCCTAATTTTTAGGTCACCTGAGTCACTCAGGTGACCTATTGCTATCTGTTTTCGTCCGTCGTCGTGCGTCGTCCGTCATGCGTTAACTTTTGAACATTTTTAACTTCTTCTCTAGAACCGCTCAACCAATTTCAACCAAATTTGGTATATAGCATCTATAGGTGAAGGGGAACAAAAATTGTGAATTTCATGGTCCCTGCCCCCCAGGGGCCTGAGGGGTGGGGCTAAAACCACCAAAAATAATGCAATCTTTAAAAATCTTCTTCTTTACTCCTGGACATCAAGCAGTCAAACTGTTGGCATCATTGTAATAAGCATTGAGCCCTCTACCAAAATTGTGAAATTCATGGCCCCAGGGTCAGGGGTTCTAGCCCCAGGGTGGGGCTATATAGATCATATAGTGAAAGTGCATTATTTCTTTGAAAATCTTCTTCTCTGCTCCTGGGTATTAAATAAAGTTACTAAGTACATAGTTATGATGAGCAAGAGTGCCTCTTCCAAAATTGTGAAATTCATGGCCCCAGGGTCAGGGGTTCTGGTGTTAGAGCGGGGCTCTATTGATTATATAGTGAAAATCCATTAATTCTTTGAAAATCTTCTTCTCTGCTCCTGGGTATTAAATAAAGGAACTAAGTACATAGTTATGATGAGCAAGAGTGCCTCTTACAAAATTGTGAAATTCATGGCCCCAGGGTCAGGGGTTCTGGTGTTAAGGCGTGGCTCTATAGATTATATAGTGAAAATGCATTAATTCTTTGAAAATCTTCTTCTCTGCTCCTGGGTATGAAATAACGGAACTAAGTACATAGTTATGATGAGCAAGAGTGCCTCTTCCAAAATTGTGAAATTCATGGCCCCAGGGTCAGGGGTTCTGGTGTTAGGGCGGGGCCCTATAGATTATATAGTGAAAATGCATTAATTCTTTGAAAATCTTCTTCTCTGCTCCTGGGTATTAAATAACGGAACTAAGTACATAGGTATGATGAGCAAAAGTGCCTTTTCAAAACTGTGAAATTCATGGCCCCAGGGTCAGGGGCTCTGGTGTTAGGGCGGGGCTCTATTGATTATGTAGTGAAAATGCATTAATTCATTGAAAATCTTCTTCTCTGCTTCTGGATATTTAATAAAGTAACTAAGTACATAGTTATAATGAGCAAGAGTACCTTTTCCAAAATTGTGAAATTCATGGCCCCAGGGTCAGGGGTTCTGGTGTTAGGGCGGGGCTCTATCAACTATATAGTAAAAATGCATTATTTCTTTGAAAATCTTCTCCTCTGCTCCTGGGCATTAAGGTGATAAACTAAGTACATAGTTATGATGAGGTGGGCCTCTTCCAGAATTGTGAAAGCCATGGCCCCTGGGTCAGGGGTTCTGGTGTTAGGGTGGGGCTCTATTGATTATATAGTGAAAATGCTTTAATTCTTTGAAAATCTTCTTCTCTGCTCCTGGGTATTAAATAAAGTTACTAAGTACATAGTTATGATGAGAAAGAGTGCCTCTTCCAAAATTGTGGAATTCATGGCCCCAGGGTCAGGGGTTCTGGTGTTAGAGCGGGGCTCTATCGATTATATAGTGAAAATGCATTGATTCTTTGAAAATCTTCTTCTCTTCTACTGGAGACTATTTAAACAAACTAAGTGCATGGTTATGATGCATAAGGATGCCTTTTCAAAAATTGTGAATTTCATGGCCCCAGGGTCAGGGGCTCTGGTGTTAGGGTGGGGCTCTATTGATTATATAGTGAAAATGCATTGATTCTTTGAAAATCTTATTCTCTGCTACTGGAGATTATTTAAACAAACTAAGTGCATGATTACATGATTATGATAGATAAGGATGCCTCTTCCAAAATTTTTAAATATATGGCCTCAGTTTTTGGGGTTCTTGAGGAGGGGGGGGGGGGGGGCTCTATTGATTATATAGTGAAAAAGCATTAATTCTATTAATTAATCATTAATTAATCCTGTCTGCTCCTTAGTGTTGAGCTGATAAATAAATTGCTTAGCTATGATGAAAATGGGAGCTTTGAACAGAATTTTTAAATCTTGTGGTCCTAGGGTCAGGGGTTCTGGCATAACGAGGGGGGGGGGGGTTTGATAATATAGTGGAAAAGTGTTAATTCTTTGAAGTCCATAGTTATGACAATGAGGGTAACTCTTCCAAATTTGTAAATTTCTTGACCCTTGGTCTTGGGTTCTGATGTTAGGGTAAGGCTTTGTTGAATCTGTAGTGAAAATGCATTGTACCTGTGAAATTCTTCTCTGCTTCTGGGTATATCGGAAGCAAACTGAGGAAAAGTTTAAATGATATGAGTAAGTGTATTTCTACCAGATTTTTAAACATCTGGACCATTCGTCTAAGCATTCTGGTCCTGGGCAGGGCTCTATTAATTTGTATTCTACTGAGAGAATTTATTCCCCTTTTCCATTCACCTTTGATAATTAACCACTGTAAATAATGTATTTGAAAGGTTAATAGAATGAGATAGTTATGCAAGAATGTTTATCGTATAATTAAAAAAGTACTTTCTTAGTTTTAATAATCAGGTAGACCTGTAAGTAATAGATAAATAAAAATGAGACAAAAATAACTTATCTTATTAAAAGTTCTTCAAAGACCATAAGAGAGGTCAATGCTAGAGGTCTTAATATGGGTTTAAAAATAGTACAGAAGCACTAGTAGTTTGTCAATAGTCTGCATGGTGATGGTGTTGAGTGGGGGACAGATTAGAACTTAATTCATGAGTTGACACTGAATACTAGACTAATTATTTTGTTGATCCTGATCTTCCTACTTCTCTTGCTTTAGGGCTTAACTTCGAAATTGTTGCATTATACTCAGGTGACCGTTAAGGCCCTTGGGCCTCTTGTTAATGGTCAAATAGATAATAATGGATAAATAAAAATGAGACAAATATACCAAATCTTTGTTAATTAAATATTTGGTGCTGTCTGACTTGTTGTTTCGCACAAGGCCATAAAAGATAGTAAATCTAAGTCATCCTCATTGTGTAGAATAAATGCATCCAACTATCAACCTTGCAGTTTGAAGAGTAAAAATGTATATAGAGGTAAGACTAAGAGAGGCCAATGTAAGAGGGAATGAGATGGGTTTTCTAATAGTGCTCAACACTGTTGTTTAGTTTGCATGGTGTTATTGACAAATGGGGGCAAATACAGGCAAGTAAATAGTTCTATGTAAGATTGTTAATGAGTACTAAAACTAATTATTTTTTTGATTCCTGATCATCCTATTTCTCTTGCTTTTGGGCAACATAGCTTCATCTATAAGTTTATTTTGTTTATTTAATGCATCTCTTGATCCTTTAAAGTGTTGTAATATACTCAGGTGACCGTTAAATATGCTATCAACAAGAGATTTTGAGATTTTGATTTATTTATTTTATTTGTTTATTTTTTTTGGGGGGGGGGGGGGGGATTTGTTTAAAAACTTTGTCATGTGGCTTTTAAATAAGATTTACATGTACATGTATTAGTACATACATGAATTATTAACCAAATAAGGGAGAAATCAATTTAGTTTTAACTTGGTACTTATTTTTATGGTATTTTTTTTTCTTTCTTTAGGTGTACACTGTCAGTGATGAAAGGAAAGAAGACCAGGTGGCTGTTGATAAACAAATTCTGGATGTGATCCGCAAAAATCCTGAGAAAAAATTGTTGTTTGGTTACCTTGGTTCCATGTTCTCACTTGGAAGCCGACAGTACCCTCACAAAATGGTCTTCTAAACATTATTTAAAATAAAATACTGACAGAATGTTCTTATTTTGTGTTTGTGCTAAATAAAGATGAGAAGGTAAATGCCCCCTGAAATTTGAGAGAATTTGACTTGAGGTTTGACTTCAGCTTGTTTCACCATATGATGTTGTCAACTAGCAATATTAGGCAATTCTTATTTTTAATAAAAATGATCTGGTCATTAAAAAGAACTAGGAATAGAATTGAAAAAAAAAAAAAAAAAAAAACACTTGATTGCAAATTATTCTTTGCCTTCATCATTCCCCCCCCCCCCCCCCCCCTTTTGTGATAAGAACTTTGAGTGGTAAGCTAACAGGGTAAAATGCTGTATAAAGCACTCAAGTGTATAAAGTATAGGTTGGATGCAACATTGGATAAATGCATCTAACATGTATGGTCAAGCTGGTTTGAATACCACCAGTAATAAGCAGGGAACAGACTATTGCTAAAAGAAGTGTTAAAATGTAGATCATGCACTTGCAGCATCTGAATTATGCTACATAATAAGCATCCACTGATGCACTAAAGGTTTAGTTTTGGTTAGGAAACTACTTGTGGTGAGCTGGGAACAGACTTTGATACTGAACTTAAATGAAACTACACTGCATAAAATTTTGGTCAGATGCAGCATCACAATAAGTATTTAACGATGCATAATGTACAATATTTTTTTTAAAATTCAGTGTGAATATCTTACGAGATAAGCTGAAAAGTAAGCCGAATGCTGGTCTTAATCTTCCAGGTACCGTTATTGGTGTAATTGGAGTCATGGTAGTGTAAAATGTAGATCAGATGCAGTACATATGTAATAGGAGTATATGCCCCACATGAAGCATCCACAGATGCACCACATCTGCAAGATTGGTTTGGATACCTCTAAAGATAAGCCAGAGGTGACCTAGATGCAGGCCTTTACATTAAACCTGAAATATAAAATGATGGTCATATGCTGCATTTGCAAAGTGCATCTCATTAAAATAAGTATCCATGGATTCATCACTACTTTAAGTTGGATTAAGATACACCAGAGAGTGATCTAAACATAGAGCTACCTTGCATTGGGTTCAAGTACCCAACTGGTTGACAATTTTCCCTGCCTGTCATATTTGGCACTGTACAAAACTACAGATGGTTTAGAAAGCATTTTGATGGTTTTTCAGGTGGAAAGCCTCAATAAAAAGGAGAGAAGAGTGTAACAGAAATTGGGTACCGGAACTCTGGACTGGTAGTTCAGTGGCAGAGCACCTGTGTGCTAATTGGTGGCATCCCTTAACTTTCCAATGGAAAAACATTTCAAAATTATTTCATGAAGAGTACATTTAAAAGTTAATTTACAATATAAATGGCTCTGACTCAGAAAAATTGATATGCCTTGGGTATTTAATTTCAGCTCTGCTTTACATATATTAAATCTCAAAATTAAATCCTAGGAAATTTCAACATCTTCCACTAAAAAAAGAAAGGAATTAAAATTCAGTCAATCAAAATCTCATGATCTGATGCAACAGTGATGTAATCAAGGATGGGTAATCAAAACATGTAATTGTAGATAAGTGTTATTAATTACATTTTTCAAAGTTATTGAAAGTATTTTGAAATTAATCATTTTTTCAATTATGTGCAATTGTAATTTATTTAATTACCTTTAAAAAATACCATGTAATTTCAATAACACTTCTGAATCAATATTACTTTACATAAAACATATACCCATATGTTTTCATAGCTTACAGTTCTAATTTAAAATCGCTCTTAATTCTTCCATTTTTAACTTGTAATCCACACCTGATAAAAACAAATGTCCCATAGATAGTTTTTGATGGACTTGACTTTAGCTAAAGATATTTCCTGTTGGCCGCCCAATTGGAGGTCAACATGCTCGGATTCCTAGGTAGTCGAAATCTTTGATGGTCTCAACTTCAGGCCCAGGAGGGCTATTAACAATGGTTTTGGGAAATCCCAAATCAAAGTGAACTGCTTATTTTAGCAGTTTATAAACAGTTATTAGGCAGTTTGGAGGTTTTTAGGCAGTTTTTAAGCAGTTTCTAACAGTCTTAGCATTCCTTAAAACTGCTAACAGACTGGTTAAGAAACTGTTAAGAATTTGTGTTGGCAGTTCAGTATTGAACAAACTTAAGCAGTCAAACAAGGCAGTCCCTCAAAACTGCTAAAAGTGCAACTAATTCATTTCAGCTTCTCACATGAGGAAATACAATACTTTGTCACTCTTGGTGGTCCTAGCTTTCACTAGCCTTCATTACAATTGCCCATGTGTTACTGTTAATGCTTCCTGATGATAGCATCACAAATAATTGGGGGCCAGGCAGGAATTTCTTATACAGAAAATAAAATTAGAAAGAAACAAAGATATATTTATTAATCTTACTAGAAATGATACAGTAGTTTATAATAAATTGAGGCTACGTATTAAAAAGGCATGCACACTTTATCCCATCAACTTGCAAATCCAGTCCTCTAGTTACATTAACAACCTGCTGTGTCCCCCACGGTTGCTTGAAACTTAGGGTTGTATCCATTGAGGGGAGCCAGTCAAGATTTGTGCGCGCTTCTCAGACCAGTTCAAAATTTCAGTACAAATTCATGTTTGTGAGGGTATGAAATTATATAGATTTATACAGTAAAGAAGTGAAATATACTTTGGGAAATACATATATATCTGTCATCACCATATTGGATTGGATGTGAACATTAATTAGTTACAAATGTATCTGAAGTCCATGAGATGGGAAATATTAAAGATCAATTTAATATGACCATGTGGCAACAATGAAAAAAGGGTGACAGGAAAATTTTAAAGATTTGCTGGCAGGGTAAAGTATGCTGAGAAAAGGGTAAGTCCGGGCTTGTGATATATTATATCCCCTCTCTCATTTCAGATTACTAAATATAAAACATATAATCTGTTTGTATTTTAATTATTAGTACTTAATTTAGATATAAACATGGTAAATGCAATATTTTATCAGTAATTACAGTTTACATATGTACATGAATTAATTTACATCATTAGATAAATAAATGTAATAAATGTTACTTTATAATTCTGAATATAGGATCAAACATTCCTCAATATATATATATTGCAAACTCTCTTCAACAATTTCTTTTAAGAACTATGTGATTCAGTTATATTAGGTCAAATTGTAAAGCTAAATGCAGTAATTTATCATTCTTTCAAGATAAGTGGCTATATTGATGTATATGATCTTTTTATTGACTGGCACTTCCCGAGCAACTATTATAATTATAAATTCAAAATTTTTGCAGATAGAAGTTGCTGATTGAGGGATCTGCAGATTAGCCCCCTATACTGACCAAGCTCTAAAGTTGGCACTTGTTTATAAGAAATGCAAGAAAATGAACTTGATGAAAGGACTTATTTACAATTTATACCTGTATGATAATTGAGTGGAAAATGAAATCCTTAAAAATGATGTTTATTCATCTACACAATGATTAAATCTAATATAAAGCTAAATTCCCATCTGTAATGTTATATTTATGAATGAATCACCCTGAAGCATAAATTTTATGCATTTTCATATTCATAAATGGGTGGAGTTACCTCCTTATAAGTAGACAAGGAAACTGCTTATAGCAGTTTCTTACCAGTTTTTAAGCAGTTCATATATTTTTCATATTTATATGTAGGTGGAGTCATTTCCATATATGTATAGCAAAGGAAACTGCCTATAGCAGTTGCTTAGCAGTTTTTAAGCAGTTCACCTCAACCTTCCTATTGACTGCTTAGACACTGCCAAGGAAACTGCTTAGCAACTGCTAAGATACTGCTAATGAACTGCCTAGCAACTGCTTAAATGGTGGACTGCTAATAAAAACTGTCTAATGACTAGCATGCAAAAACCTTCAGCCAACAACAGAGGAGAAGGCTAGTAAACTGTCTAAAAACTACTTCAGCATTGAACTGTGAAGGTTAAAAAACTGCCAAAGAACTGCCTTCCACTTTGACTTGGGATATGTTTTATTGTGGAAGTAGTGAAAAAATTAGAAACACACGGTTTGTAATATTTTGAGATGGCACTTGAAATATAAGGAGAAATAAATCGAGAAACAGCGCACATTTTTGTTTTTTTATTTTTTAATAAATATAAACTTTTTAGCTGAAAGCTCAAGTGAGCTTTTCTGACCACCCGTTGTCCGTCGTCCATCCATCTGTAAACTTTCCACATTTTCAACTTCTCAAGAACCACTGGGCCAATTTTAACCAAACTTGGTACAAAGTATCCTTGGGGGAAAGGGAGTTTAATTTGTTAAAATAAAGGGCCAATTCCCTTTGGGAAGGGGAGATAATCAAGAAAAGATAAAAATAGGGTGGGGTCATTAAAAAATCTTCTCAAGAACCACTGGGCCAGAAAAGCTGAAACTTATGTGGAAGCATCCTGGAGTAGTGTAGATTCTAAATTGTTCAAACCATGACCCCCAGGGATAGGGCGGGGCCACAATAGGTTATCCAAGTTTTACATTGAAATATATTGGAAAAATCTTCTCAAGAACCACTGGGCCAGAAAAGCTGAAACTTTTGTGGAAGCATCCTGGGGTAGTGTAGATTTTAAATTGTTCAAATCTGGACCCCCGGGGGTAGGGTGGGGCCATAATAGGTATCACAATGGGGGAAATCTGGTAAAGAACTGCATGGCCAAAGTTACTCGGGTGAGCGATGTGGCCCATGGACCTCTTATTTTTCAATGGGTGGCACTGTAGCTTTCTGGTCATCCATCCCAATTTTTTTTCAGACCAGTGAGCTACAGATCTGCAGTTATGTTATGACCCACTCTATTTCACAAAAATGTATTTATAGCATCCAATTTATGTCAGTTTTGTAAAAATTGAGTGTGTTGCCATTTTTTTGTGTGTTAATTGGAATTAATTTTACTGTTACTATATTCAAGTATTGTCAATTTTGTATTGCAAATGGAAATAAACATTACATAAATTTAAGGTCATATATGGCGTATTTTTTTGATAAGTTCATGCAGATAAC